TATATATATATATATATATATATATATATATATATAAATGGTTTATTTGCAAATTGACATAAAACTAAAACAACATTGCAGCCTAATAATACGTACGTAAGTATTGTACAAAAAGCTGAATTACGTAGTTTTAGGGAACACACAAAATATCATTAATATTTACAAACTTAACCAAACCAAATAACCAGAATATATACAATTGGTAGTTGGGTGATTACAGGTAGACTAAGCACTGTTTAAAGGAGTACTAACCTCCAGAAGGAAGTGCTATTTTCCGATACATCATGCTGCAATGAATACATAACTAGCCGACTTTTTACATAATTTCGCTTGTACGAGTTGCGCGGCGCATGTTTGTAAAGTGATATTTATACGATTTTCCCCCATGCTGAACCACAATTGATACATCCGGGAACTCTGGCTTACGCAATACTCATACACTTCAGGTCAACATAAATATTTTTTGGCGAAAATGGTAGGAGACAAGCACACTAACAAGCTGATTATTATGAAATTACTTGCTTTACTTTGCTTGACCTGTGGCTTGGATATTATAATGTCAGGATGTCGAATACAGTGAGCGCCAGTTTCACGCTGCGTGTTTTGATTTTCTCAACTTATTTGCATGTAAGTATTACTTGAACAGATAATTAGATTACGCCACTTATGGAAAGGATAACTAGATTACGCCGTTTTTTTTCATCGTCAATATTTGCGGCATAAATGAGGGGCGATAAGGACACCAAGAAGGGCAATTGTTGGTAAGATACCAAAGAACACAAAACGGTACGAATTTTTCTTATCGCCCCCGAAATGAGGTCTGTAACGTAACTTTTTGTTTAAAACATAGACACCAATGGGGTAGCGTGGTGTATTCTGGGATAGTTTTGAGGGTATTTGGAGAATTTGTCCTGGATTCGATGCGTTTTAAGACTTGCGCGTAAAATGGGCATTTAATTGTATACTGTAAAATAATATGCCTGTCGAAATATAGCACCTCCTTCTGGAGGTTAGTACTCCTTTAAGAGTTTTGCCAGGTAGGGAATAGCACTGTTCCTGTACCTTTCAGATCTTATACATGGTAGGCTAAGCCGGAACCCCCCTTTTAAGTCCCTATTATGTACTTTATTGCGGGTGGGGGGGGGAGCCAGGGTCTAAACGTTGGTGAATTCAACAGAGATTTTGCAAACTTAAGACACAATGATTCCCTTCTGACTTTTAGAGTGCAGAGGTCAAAAGTAGAGAGTGCATCCGTATAGGAAGTGTACTTATTTTCAAGAATGATTCTGAGGGCACGTTTCTGGATGCGTTCAAGTTTGTGGGATTGTAGAGTGGTTAGACCTGCGTGCCACACAGGGACAGCATATGCTATGACTGGTCGGACGTGTAATAAATAAATTTCACAAAGATCTTCAGTGCAGACACCAAAGCGTTTTTTTTAGTTTCTTAAGCCAGAAGAGGCGTGAGCTTGCTTAATTTACACTTATCTTCATTCAATGACATACGGGAATCATCATCATAGGGTCTAGGGATAAAGTAGGGAAAACAAAGAAAGTGGCTAACTTGAGAATTCACGTGGAACGGGCAATCAATAGACTTAAGGACTTGAAAATCCTGGGGGGTACATTTCCCATAACATTGATATCAGCAGCAGATGATATTGTCAAGGTCTGTGCTGCATTAGTTAACCTGCAGCCAGACCTGATCAAGTAAACCTGGCAGTGTCATTCATACTAATCATAGTCTACATCTCTGAGCTTACATATTCATCATCAATTTTTTTAGTCATCTTTTTTTTTAGTAATCAGTATATGCAATGTAAGTCATCATTACATTGCATATACTGTATCATACACGGTGGTAAAATCTGGGCTGCAAAGTTCCCACATGTCATAGAACCCGAACTGTGTTCGATCGTGTTCGATCTGGGCAATTCGAATCGAACCCGCGTTCTATTTCGGGGTCACCTGCGGTCATTTACAATAAAGCGGCAAAACAAGTCTTTCTGCCCACGTGCCTTGCAACAGATAAAAAACAACACTTTTCTATATATACAAACAGTTTCCCGGATAATACATGTCCGCTATCATTTTTTTGTGGATCTGTAACATGTAGCGAAGCTACTGTCGTATCCTTGGGTGACCTTGAATACAGTAATGATTCTTTACACCAGTATGAATAGCACAATGCATACTTTTGGTCGACATAACATGTCTGCAAAACTCGTTTTAACCTGCAAGCATGGCGAGTCAAGCATACCCCATTCACGGCTCAAAATGACCGTAACGGTTGTCCCGAAAATCGTGTTTTAGGGATTTTTAAAAAATGGCCTCAATTTTGAATTATGGGTAATTTAGTGCAAAAAATGTAAAAAAATATCATTTTTTCACCAATATGTCGACAAAAACTAGACTTCAAATCAGAAACTAAAAAATCCCTAAAACACGATTTTTTATCTTATTCCTAGTCGTCGAAAAATATAAAAATCGGGGATCTGGGGTGATATACGTAGCCAGGTTAAAACGATGTTTGCCTAAAAACATGGCATGACTTGTGGTCGGAAACCCGAAAAAAATCGTCTTTCGGAGCGAAATTTGGAAAAACCAATGATTTAACATAATCAGCTAATATGCCAAAAAACAGTTACTCAAGCAACTGGATATGATTTTGAAAACGTCAGACGTTTCAGCTAGTATCCACTAGCTTTCGTCAGTGACTGAGAGACCAGAGGGGAAAGCAGGTTTATATACACAACCTGTTGATTGATATGCAAATAAAGTGAAGACAAATTTTTGGAAGTCGAAAAAGGAACAAAAGTCAGACAAGTCAAGACAAGATGATGCAAATTAGTCTGAAAGCTCCTGTTATACAGAACAGGAGCTTAAGTGTTGTAAGTCCTCGGGGCTGGGAGTGCCAAATCCCAAGTGCCGGAAAGATCGACCCGTAGCCCCCCTTCCCTGTTGAGGGTGGGGTTGTACATTCTTTCATATATTGCCTCTTTAACACCCCGTTCCCACCAGCGTGTTTCGCGGTCTAAGACATCCGTGGACTCGAGTTTGAAAGAGTGACCCTGGTTGTGTTGTAGGTGGTGGAAAATAGCTGAGGAGTAGCCGTTGGCACTAGGTCGGCAATGTTCTTTGTACCTTACTTTAAGCGGTCGACTTGTCTCTCCGATGTAGGTGTTGTTACAATTGGGC